TAATCATTTCTTTTGCTCTTGGGGTAATCTCTTTGTCATACCAAACAAAATGGTCACACCTCTTTTGTCCCACAAGCTACCGGCAACATATGAGAAAAGAAACGTAATACATTTTCATAATTGAAGAAAGTAGAAGTGATAAATCATAGACAAATAATACCTCATACATCCCACAACCATAAAAGCGTCGTCTTGGGTTAAAAACAGTCCATGATGTCATCAGTGGTGATTTTAAGCCGCACATACATTCACCATGGTTCGATTTGAAGTTCGAATGAGATTTTGTGCGACTGCTTGCTTGGGAAAAACTAGACATGAGTAAGACGAGGTAGAAAATGTAGAGAGATGAAGTATAAGACGTGAAGAAGAAGGAGTAGTAGCAAAATTCTGAAGATAAAGAAAGGGATAAACATGATAAAATTAAGGTTCTTCATTATGTAGATTTGCTAACATTAGTTTTTATTTTTTAAAATATTAAAAATATTTTATTAAAATTTATAAATGACATGACAACCCATTATATGAGATAGAGTCTGACTTATTATGCCAAATCACCATTTTGAGTGTTACATAATTAAAACAGGAGGGAGATTAAAAATCTTCTAAAAAAACGACAATTTACAGGACTAAAAAGCTGAAAAAATTATTAAAAAAAAAGACTAAAAATGCATTTAAGTTAAAATAATATTATACTAAAACATAGAAGACTCAATAGTTCCATGTGTTTATCTATTTTGCTTAACAACTTTGGGGATAGTGGCTTGAGAACATCATTCTTTTGTTATACTTTCGATTTTTATTGATTACGAATTTTTGATATTCATTTTGATCCTTCACACAATTAAAATTAGATGATTAGATGTTACTAACTTTTGTGATGGATCAAAATTGGTTAGAAATTCCTCACAAAAGTATGAGATGGACTAATTTTTGTTATCAGAAATGGATTTTACAATTTTTGTGATGCGAGTGATGTTAAGCGGCGGACAGATCAATTTAAATGATTTTTACTGGTTTATGGGGGAAAATAAACACAACTGCAAGAAGTAAATTCAAAAAAGTATAGAAAAGTAATGACAGTCTAGCTGGCTTCCCATTGGTCAGTTATAGGAGACACGGATCGCCAGGTAAGTTATAGTAGACCATAGATAAGTTCTAATCCAACGGTGGATTTCTTTTCAAAGCAAGATCCCATGAGAGTATAAAAACTCACCAACGCCAATTCTCACCAATATCTCACCATCTTTAATATTCAAAATTCTCATAACACAGCGAATTCACAGTCAAAATGGACGCAAGCACAAAGGTAAAGAAAGGAGCAGGTGGAAGGAAAGGAGGAGGACCGAGGAAGAAATCGGTGACAAGATCCGTCAGAGCCGGACTCCAATTCCCCGTCGGAAGAATCGGTCGTTTTTTGAAGAAAGGCAGATACGCTCAGCGTGTTGGTACTGGTGCACCTGTTTACCTAGCAGCTGTTCTTGAATATCTTGCTGCCGAGGTAAATTTCAATTTTCCTCCTCTGTTATTCTTTTGATTTCTATTAGTTTGGAATTTCTGATGAATTGTTTTTATGTTTATGTGAACAGGTTCTTGAATTAGCTGGAAATGCTGCGCGTGATAACAAGAAGAATAGGATTAGTCCAAGACATTTGTCCTTGGCGGTAAGGAATGATGAAGAACTTGGAAAATTACTGGCTGGTGTTACAATTGCTTATGGTGGTGTTCTTCCTAACATCAACCCTGTTCTTTTGCCTAAAAGGACTGAAAATGCTTCTTCTAAGGAACCTAAATCTCCTAAGGCCAAGAAAACTCCCACTAAAGCTTAAATTGAAAGGTCTGGATATATTAATTTCGGCACCTCTTAACTAGCGGATACATATTTAAACGCATACCAAGCAAATGTAATTCCCATTTCTCTTTCTATGTTTATCAATAATATTTGATAATGAAATCGTTTTGTTTTTAACCAAATACCTGGCATATTCCATTACTGTTTTTCTTCCACCTACTTGCTTCTGCACCATCATGGTGATTGTTAACACTAACACACCATGATCAAACTCGGGTAAGATTTTTTTTACTAATTTCTTGCAAAAGTTTTAAAGAGGTTCATGTTATTAAAGGAAGGAAATTCCAATCTACTCCAAATGAACATCAGCGACTATTAATTTAAATCTCATAATGGATCATCATTGAGTAACTTTGAGTTGAGAAAATTACATTGGGTCAATTAAGTGGACTAAATAATCTAATGAGGAATTGAGTTTTAGTTTATATTAGAATCGGTTTGGATTTAGTAATTGAAAATTTTAACAAATTTAAAATTATAAAAAATTTATTTTTTTAATAATTTATTTTGTTTGAATGAAATATTAGCATGGTGCATTGTTGTTTTTTTGGAACCACTTTCATAATTTTAAGAAGTGTTAAATTTAAAGTATGAAAAGTAGGGATCAATTTTAAAGAAAAAAATCAGTGTTTTATTTTATAAGGAAAAATCATGTTTTATTTTATGTGTAATGTTAACTTGTGTCCTTGGATCAGATGTTAAGAAAACCACTTAATGTAAATTTGAATTGGAAAAAATGATTTAAAAATTAATTTTATATTTTAATTAAAGTTTATACACAATTTCCAAGACAATGTTTCTTAATTTAGTTCTTAATATGTGTTCCAAGGGCACAAGTTAAAATTACCCTTATTTTATAAGATAAATACGTTAAAGGAATGGACACCCATTTTCATTGTTGTATATAAAACACTGTGAATACAACCAAAATGTTATATAACTATGTAAATGCATCATTATCTAAGATAAGAAATAAAATTGTTTATCAAACTTACAAACAGGAATTTAAGATGATATGAATATCTAAAATTAAAAGCGTTTTTTTTTTTAAAGAAATCAACTAATTATCCATTACTAGTCATTGTTAGCAATCTATCATTTATACCTTTTCACTAAATTTTAATTTACACTACTTCAAGCCGTTATGTAATTTACTAAAGAATAATTCATTACGCAATCAGAAGAATCCATTTTGTCAAGTGATATAAGTTTTTTGAAAAATTCTTACAATTTCCCTCTCACTTTCACCTTCTCTCTTTCTCGGTACCCTATTTCTCCCTCTTTCTCGTCTCTCAGAATTCTTTCTATTTTTTCCTCTCTCTCTCCCCTTCTTGTTTGTTTCATTCCTCTTTCCTCTCAAACCCTAACCACCACCCTGTTTCTCCCTCGTCCCTGTTTCTCTCTTCCCCGAAACATTATAATGTTGCGTCCTGTTTCCACCTTATTTGCAACAATCAATATCTTAAAGATGAAACAAGCTCAGATCCTGTTTCCTTCTGCTCTTTTAGTTTTCTTTGATTTGAATGAAGTGAAAGTATATTTTAATATGTTATTAAAGATTTTTGTTCATGTTTAGGTTTCGAATCTGAAATTTATTTTTAATCTGAAGTGATACCGTTGTTTTCTGTAGTTCTTTTCTGGGCAAGTTGTATGGATTGCTTCCTTTGCAATGGGCTGAATGATGACATAGTTTTCGGGTGCTTGTCTCTATTTGTTTAAGCTCTGCTGATTTTTCTTGATTTATCTTTGATAGTGTCTGACATAATGACTTTTGGTTAAAGTGGAGAAGAGAGGGAAAATGTTATTTCTTTAAAAGCTATCAATAAGGTATGATTCAGTCTAACTGATTTTGCTTTGATCGTTTGCAAAAATTAGTTCATATTTTTTGTGAAAAATTGTTGTGATTCCTGATAGGTGTTATGGTGCTGGCTGACGTGGATTGTGTTGTATTGACGAGTTTGATAAAATGACTTCAGAGCATCAGGTTTGTTCTCTGGTAACCGTTGATCTATTAGGTTGGTCTTAAAGGATGAGCCTTAACTTCTGTTTGTCCTTTATATCTTTCTTTAACCCTTATCTATTCATGGCTGCTTGAGATTCATTTGAATTCATGTTTCATTTAGGTTGGTCTTAAAGGATGAGCCTTAACTTCTTTTATTGATTGGCTTCAAGGATATTTAGTTTTTCAAAATCAACGGTTGACTTGGTACAAGTAAGTATCATTATGTTTTGCTTGTGCCGGTAACTCATGTTTTGTCTGTGTTAATACTCTATTTTGCATGAATGATAATTGTATTTTTTTGATTGAATATATTAATGATAAAACTTATTTAAGAATGAAGTTATATATAAAAATTTCTATGGAATATATTCAAAGTATAAATCTCTTTTGAAGCCCTGTGATGTGTATTTCAATCTATTTTGAGGATCAAAATTACTTCAATTTGTGTTTTATTTTCCACTATTTTCTTTCTTCTGAAACTTAGCTGAAGTAGGTTGTGTATTAAAACATGTTTTTTTGCAATTTTGATAGTGTATAGGATACAGTTCTGAAGCTTTTGATCACATGTTCTGAAGCTTTTGTGGCAATAATCCTTTTGATGACATCACCTTCTGCATTTGTTCTATATGTATTTATGATTTTGAGTGTATGTCATATTTAAAATAAGTAAGGCATTTTCTGCATTTTCTTAATTAAAAAGACTTAATGTATTGCAGGGAGGTAGTAAACAAGTTAGATTTCAGCATGTTCATGGGAAGCTTATAGCTACTGCTACTGGAAATACTCCCAAACTAATTGATGTTCAGTTAGTTATGTTGTCATTTTAATTATGCTAATACTGCAAGATTATGACTTGCTTAGTATATTACATGTTGTCATGGATGTAAAGCAACTTCACCTTCTGTTATGAAATGACTACGTAGGTTATTCAAAAGCACTAATTGTTGTTATGCCCGTCATTTTTTCATTTACAAAACTGATGAACTTAATGTTTAGATTTGTGCAAGGAGCATTTCCTTCAATTCACAACACATTAATTCAAAAGAAAAAGGGTGTATACCGAGTTCATTCTCATTTTCGATTTTGGTGTATACCGAGTTACAAGCAAGTTTTTGCATACAACTACAATTGAAATATCTGGCAGAAGAAATGCAAGCTATTAGTAAATCACTGGAGAAAGTAATTCAAGAATTGTCTGCATCAGAAAACGACGGGCCCGTGTCAGAATACTTCTGCCACGTACAAACTTCTAAATTCTGATGAATTTGGATTATTATTCTTTTGTTATGTGCAACTTATGATTTTAGTATTTGTAATGTTCAGATTCTGAAAGAATTTCTTAGTCACGCCGAAGCTGAAGTGAGGGCTTTGGCTCAGCTTTATGCCAATGTGGTATGGATTTGGTTCTTTCTTCTTTAGCATATTTTTTTTTTGTAAACAGTAAATTCAAGATATCACAAGAAATGTATCTGAAGTTCGGAATCTGAATGTACCAGGGTAGAAATGCATATGCGTTGGCGCTATACTTCAGAGAAGATTCGGCATGTTGCCCGTTCGAACAAGGTAAATATGAAAAACATCAATTCGCAATATAGTCGCCATATAGATTCTTTCTTTTTGTGGTTTTCTTATTTTTCCTCTCTATAGTTGTATCTACACTGCTCAACTTTGTGAGGATGTTCATACGAGCACATGACAAAAATTGCAAACAGGTTGAATATGAAAAGAAGAAAGCAGATAAGGAAGCTGCGGAAAATGAGAAATTGAAGCTAGTTGCGAGAAACGAGCCTAAACCTATGATGAGGACCACCATCAAGAGCGGTGATGGTAAATAATCACACTTTTTTACAAGGCCTCAAGCTTCTGACGATTTTCTGTACAATGTAGTTTCGAAGCCCATAAAGAAATTCGTGTAGTCAACAATCGCAATGTAAATGTTGATCTGGTGTGTTTTCTTTAACATAAGATAGAATAATGTTTAGCTTCTATTTTCAATGTGAGCATTTAGAGGCACCAATACTGAAAATTTTCGGTTTATGCTCCATTGTTACATGAACTGATGAAGACAAATGCTTTGTAAATATCAAGCTATTGCTTAGAATACAAGTTACAAATTTTAGTGAGTCATTTTCTTTGTTAGAAGTTTCTCACTTTCAATGATACAAGCCTATCATATTACTCAATAAAATTTTATCTTCAATAACCATATTCTAACCGAAACAATCTTTTTGCCTATACTTTATATGTCTTAGTTTTTATTTTTCATAATTTCATGTTTAACTTGAATATTGTAGAAAATCATTTGTGAACATACTAGATAATGTCAGTAAATACTAGATTCATATACTGTAGGAAATCATGTGAAATTATTCGTGCACATACTTGAATACTATAGGAAATCATCTGTGCGCATACTGGACTCATATTGTTCTCTATTGAGTTTTTATGCCTGACTTCATACTTCATATCATGTTATTCATATTTTGATTAATGCATGTTTTCAAGCATATTTTTGACAGGTAGAAAATAACTAATAGAGTGTCAATGACTCATGAATAGTACAAAACAAACTAAAATTGTATCCCATGAATATCACCAAAGGTAACATTTATACATTGTTTTTCCTGTCTGTTTTCTGCCTGAGAAAGTTTTGATCTTTCTATATTGAACAACTTCTAAATTCTAATTGAAATATTTTGTCTAATATAGGCACACTGATATTTATAAATACTATGAACTTGATGATAACAAATTATGCAATGATCAGTTTTCATTTGAATGTCTATAATGATCTATTAATCAATTTTTATGAAGATGTGTATAGATTAAAGTAATGTTACATTAAAGATGAAAGGATGTGTTCTTTTCAAGAAATTTTGGTATCCTTATTTTTTTTTATTGGTTAGTTGATCGATATATAATAAGAAAAAACATTAGCGGAAGTTCAGGTGGTACCAATCTTGTCTCAGCACCCCTTATAACAAATTTAGGTCTATAACAAGCATTTGTATGATTATTTCATCTGAATCATAAGTTGTCTTCCTCATGATCTTAAATAATGGTGTTGAGTTCTTGTTTTTTCAGTTTGTTTGCTGCCTAGGAAAGTTTTGCCTTTTATACATATTACCCTTTGGAGTTCCTAGATTGAATCAAGCAGTAGATCAGAACTCACTTATTCACATGTATTATTTATTTTCATTTATGTGTTGTCAATGTTCTATATTTGTTCTTTTTATATTTTGTATTCTCTTTTATGTGTGGTTCTATTTCAATTTCACAATATGTTTTTGAAACTCTGATGTATTATGGCTCAGGTTTTTCCAAGTCAATCACTTTCCTATATTCACATTATGATTACGGGAGCTACAATAATTCAGCATGGGAAAACTCAGAGTCATCAAAACTCAGGATTAATTTGTTGTCATTTAATGTCATCAAAACTCAAGTTGTTAAAAAACCATTGTTGGTTACTAAAACCAATATCAGGTGATGATGAGTTTACTGCTACTTCTCTGTCATTTTGTTAATGCTACTGATCATATGAAAATAAGTATGATCATTTTGTTAGTGATCTAGCTAGCTATGAAGCTTGATGGTAAATTTTCTATATATGAACCATAATAGGAAGTTTCACGGAGATCTCGATGATAACCACTTTATCACGGAAGATAGAAATGCAACTGTGCGCAATGACATTGGCCGAAATGCAAAATCTTGCACAAAGCTGCGTCTGAATCGAATCAGGCATACTTGTTGTAGTTGACATGAACAACTGCGTTTATTTATAGATTACAGTGTTAACACCAATTTAAAGCACAAAAATATTTTAGTTCCTGCTTTATTTTGGTTCAAGAACTATGAATTTAGCATAATTTTATGAAACTAACATGCTACTGAAAGTATCTATTGTTGTAAATGTTATAGAAACATGCTACTAAAAGTAATTAACTGCTCACCAATTTTATGGACCAAGCATGCTAATGTATATGTAATATCATTCCTTGAAGTGTCTTACTTGGAATTACATGGTTTTAACTGTATTTGACTGCCTACCACATGATTATTAAAAATATCTATATTCAACATGAAAGTGATTCATGTCATTTTAGCTTAGAATTTAAATGAAGTAACATGGATGGTGTTACTTTGATACTGTTTTCTGTTTAACTCAACAAATATAGATTTAACATTATTTTTCTAAACATGCTGCTGAAAATTCTGTGGTATTGTAAAGTGATTCAATGCTAAAAGGCATGAAGATAATTTCATCTAAGACTATGCTTATCATTTTAGATGTATGATAGAATATTAATTTTAGTTAATCAACCGTTACAATGTGGAACATTTTTCAATTACATTTTTTACTTTGTTTTTAAGATATTACCATTACTTGATTCAACATAATTGAAACAACAACCACAAATAAATGTTATATGAACGACACCATTTGACAACATTGTTGACCTCTTACTTAATATTAACATTACTTTATAGAATCACCCATTTTCTTTTCACATATTACAATTTTTAAGGTTAAAATTTAATATAAATAATGGATCAAGACTTATTTGGTTTTTATTATCATATGCGATCTAATAGACTTCTTAAAAAAATATTTGTTTTACTTCAAATTAAATTATAGTTTTAAAACTACATTTCATTATACTATTAAATTGCAAAAATAACATTTACCCGTGCGGACGCACAGATACCTTCTTCTCCCCTTTTGATATTTTTATTCCATACAAGCTTACGATAAAATTGTATGTTACTCTATTGCTCTAAAAAATAAATCATGTATAAATATTACTTTAAAAAATTAAAAGTTTAAAATCTTAATTATGTATTTAAACCTTTTCACTATAATATTTAAAATGTGATTGAAATACTTCATAAAGTTACACGAGATACCATCAGTTAGATTCAAATAAATAAAAATCTGCATAAATATTACTCTTAATATGCATTTGAATATACTTTTTCTTGTGAAATTTAAATTTGATAACATTATACTTTTTCTCATACCTGTGCGGACGCACGGGTCTTCTACTAGTGTTTTATAGTCTCAAACACTAAATGGTATCTTGATAAAGGATGTTCAGACCATATCACATATAATCGGTTAAAACTGTATTTTCAATCTTCTTTCCCAAAGAAGGATGATTTGTCTCATATAGAGATAATAAAGAGAAAAATATTAGGTTTTGGTATCATTGGTAAATTCTAAAATCCAATGATTGTGAAGATCCTCTTTGTAAAATGACTTAAGCATAATTTGCTTAACACTAGTCAATTGTGTGACAAAAATAACAATGTAGCATTCAATTCTCCTGGTTGTAGAGTTATAAAATCAAAATCAAATGAAACTCTGGTCACTAGATTAAGAAGTGGAAGTACCTACACAATAAATTTAAACAAAATTCCTTCAAATGATGTATGTCTCCAATAACGAAGATGAATCTTGGTTATGTCATAAGAGAATAGCACACGTCCACATGGACTACTTAAAATAGTTGGTTCGAAAATATCTTGTAGACGGACTGTCAAACATGCGTTTTGAAGAGAATAAATTATGTGATGCATGTCAAAAAGGGAAGCAAGTAACAACCTATTTCAATTCTAAAAATATGGTTTTTACCGATCGACCCTTACAAGTGTTTCATATGGACCTTTTTGACCCATCTAAAAACTTAAGTTTAGTCGGAAACGTCAATGATTTTGTCATTGTAGATGACCACTTTCGATATACCTATACAAAATTCTTATCTAAAAAAAGAGACGTGTTTGCTAGCTTTTGAAAACTAGTTAAGGTTATCCATAACGAAAAAAAAGTATGCATTGGATCCATGAGAAGGATCATGTCAGAGATTTCCAAAATGAGAACTTCATTTTATTTTGTAATGAGAATGGTATTCAGCTCACCTTTTCCACTCCACGAACTCCCCAACAAAATGGGGTGATAGAAAGGAAAAACAGATCTATAGTAGAGCTTGCAAGGACGATGTTCAAATAGACCAACTTCCTAAATACCTATGGGTTCATGCACTAAATACCGCTTTCTATGTCATGAATAATGTCATGATACAACCGACTTTATAATGGATGCCCTATGAGCTATACAATGGAAGAAAGTCGAATATCTCTACCTTCATGTTTTTGGATGCAAATAATTCATATTTAATCAAGCACCTAGATTATCAACCCTATTGTCGCACCCCAAATTTTACCCTTAGATTAGTGATCATTTTCACATTTCATTTTCGTACATTTCCCGTTTTAACTAACCGCTAACCAGTTTGCTTAGTTGTTTCATTTTGCAGGCGAATCGAAGGTGGTTTTGTGGGTCTATCAAGTCAGGTCGAACCTACATGGATATAAGATCTTAAACGTTTACAGATTCGTCATCATCATCGTCCTCAACCTCGATGGTGTGCGATTTAAGGGTGAAATCATGGATTCAGAGAATGGAAGTCTGAGGCGAGTTTATCGTTCTTTGGTCGACTTCAAGTTATTGTGAATACCGGTTTTAAGGGAAATCCAAGACGCACGATGTATGTTTCTTCTCTGGTTATGGTTGGGTCGGGACCGAAGGATCACATCGAATTCATAATGGGTATTAGTTGGTTTTAAATAATCGTAAGTCTCAGATGATTCGAGTTCGGAGTATAAAATTCAAAGTTGTTTCTAATGAGATGTGGTGTGCAATTAAATTCGGAAGACAACTAGTTCATATTTTTATTAAAAGACTTGGATTCACATATATGCTCAAAGCCGAATCCATATACATTTTTCAAGTACAGTGGATACAAGTTACAAAGTTGCAATTTTTTGGAAT